GTTAGAGAACTTTGACGGTTCCAACTTCAACGCATGACGTCGAAAAGTAATCTTCGGGATACAACTCCGAAAAATCTACTATGTGGTTTCTGAGGAAAAACCCGACTCTGAAGAAGACTCTGAAGCTGAAGCCTCTTGGACTAGAGATGATCACTTTTGCAGGAGTTATCTCCTTAACTGCCTGATCGATTATCTAGCAGATGCTTACACCAACAAGCCCTCTGCAAAGAAAATCTGGAATACTCTGGAGGATCAGTACAAGGATGAGGAGAAGCTGTCCAAATCTCATCTCATTGACAAATTTCTGGACTTAAAGTTCGAAGATGATACTGAGGTTTTACCTCAAGTCAAAGAGCTTGAAAAGCTTGTTATGAAGCTGAAGGATGAAAAGATTAGTCTTTGTCAAACCTTCATCTCTGGTGCAATTGTCAACAATGTTATGAAGCTGAAGGATGAAAAGATTAGTCTTTGTCAAACCTTCATCTCTGGTGCAATTGTCAACAAGTTTCCTCCATCTTGGATGTTATTCTTCACTGATATTCGAAGAAGGAAAAGACTGGTGACTCTGTCTGACTTGAAAAGGTTCATTCGGATCGAGGACGAGACTAGAACTCGCACGAAGACTGAGCTCATTGCTAAGCAGAAGGCGTCTGCTAACATAGTGGCTGCTAACTCTGAAAAGGGTAATAATTCATCTTTCAAGAAGAAGAAGTCTTTTAACGTTCAGAAGAAGGAGTTCAAGAAGAACGACAAATGCTTCAACTGTGGGAAGCAAGAATATTTTGCCAAAGACTGTAGAGCACCAAAGAAGAAAACAACACACAATATCAATCAAGTTGATGATTGTGTGGCCATGCTCTTCCAGATAACAACTCCAAGCAACATCTCTAGTTGATGGTTAGATACGGGTGCTACTTGTCATGTATGCTCCAATAAAGATATGTTCTTTTCTTATGTTGCTACCAAAGAGAACGTATCAATGGCTGATCGTTCCGTGGTTCCTGTTCTTGGAACTGGTACTGTAGTGCTGACTCTTTCTTCAAGAAAGACTCTCACATTAAAGGATGTGAAACATGTTCCCTTAATTGCCAAAAACTTAGTCTCTGGAAGCATTCTGTGTGATGCAGGTATGAGGCTGGATTTTTAAGGAGGAAAGTCTGTATTATCCTTCAAGAAATGTATTTTAGCAATGTATATCGTACTGATGACATGTATAAAATCAGTACGAGTGCACCTAACCCCGTCATAAATGAAGTATCCTCTTCTGCTTACTCCTATGTGTTATGGCACAATAGGTTGAGACATGTAAATTATAGAAAATTATCCAGCATGGAGAAGTTAGGATTACTTTCAAAATATGGGGGTAACAAACCTGAGAAGTGTGAAGTTTGCGCGCAAGCAAAGCTGACGAGGAAGCCATTTTCAAGTATCACGAGGAGCACCAACCTGTTGGATTTGATTCATTCAAATACTTGTGACTTCAAGTGCTTCATCACTCGTGACAGCAAGAAGTACTTCATCACCTTCATTGACAATCATTCTCGCTTCTGTCACGTTTATCTGCTGAAATCTAAAGATGAAGCATTCAGCAAGTTTGTCGAATTTCGGACTCGAGTGGAGAAGCAGCTTGGACTTCAGGTGAAAAGACTCAGGAGCGACAGAGGAGGAGAGTACCGATCTAAGGAATCGGAAGCATACTTCAAGGAGCATGGAATCATTGCTGAAACTACTGCTCCGTATTCTCCGCAATCTAGTGGGATTACAGAAAGAAAGAATCGTACATTGATCGAAATGGTGAATTCGATGCTAATCACATTTGGTCTACTTACCTGCTATTGGGGAGAGGCTTTGCTAATGATAAACTGGATTCTGAACAGAGTATCCTATTTTAAAATTGATAATACTCCTCATCAGTTATGATTGGGATATCCAGATTCTTTGGATAGTCTCAAAGTGTGGGGGTGTCTCGCATATGTTCGAATTCCAGATATCAGAAGGGATAAGCTTGGAGCAAAGATAAACAGATGTGTGTTTCTTGGTTTTGCTGGAGATAGCAATGCGTGTAGGTTCCTGGACCTTGGAACCAACTCCATTATTGAAGCTCGGGATGCAAAATTCTTTGAGGATAAGTTTATCAAACATAAATGCTTATTGCTCAAAGATGTAGCAGAGAATGCTAATACATCAAATGCACAAGAGGAGCCAGTCAATGATGAAGGAGTTATCGAACCATATTCCAAGCGCGTCAGAAGACAGAAAGATTTTGGAGATGACTTCATCACCTATAATATGGAAGGAGATCCACAGACTTTTTAAGAAGCAATGCAGTCAACAGACGTTCTTCTGTGGAAAGAAGCTATAGATGATGAGATGAATTCATTGATCCAAAATCATACTTGGGAGCTGATGGATGTACCTGAAGGTGCAAGGCCTATCAGTTGCAAGTGGATCTTCAAGAAGAAGCTTCGTCCTGATGGTACTATTGAAAAGTACAAAGCAAGACTGGTGACGAAATGATTCTCTCAGAAAGAATAGACTTCTTTGATATTTATGCACCAGTTTACAGGATCACTACCATTAGAGTGCTTATCGCATGGGCGGCGATTAAAAGGTTTGTCATACATCAGATGGATGTGAAGACTGTCTTTCTCAATGGAGATTTCACAGAAAAGATCTACATGGAGAAACCAGAAGGACTTGATGCTCCAGCTGGTAAGATTTGTAAACTTGTTAAGTCATTATATGGACTTAAGCAGGCACCAAAACTCTGGCATGAGAAGTTCGATGGCGTTATTCGCAACAATGGGTATCAAGTCAGTGAATCTGACAAATGCCTATATATCAAGGTCATTGAAAGAAAGATGGTGATCATCTGCCTCTATGTGGATGATATGCTTATCATAAGGAGTGATTTGGAGATTGTAATATCTACCAAGAAATTTCTTTCAGCACAGTTCAGCATGAAGGACATTGGAACCGCGGACGTGATTCTCGAAATCAAAATCATATACTCTGAAGAGGGTATTGGATTGTCCCAATCTCATTATGTCGAGAGCATGCTAAGAAAGTATGGCTACTACGACATGTCAGAACTGTCAGTGCCATATGATTACAACAAGAACCTTCGATCAAACACTGAAAGACCAGTAGAGCAGCTAAGGTACTCAAAGATCATTGGGAGTCTAATGTACGTGATGAGCTGCACAAGGCCAGATATAACATTCGCTGTAGGAATGCTTAGTAGGTTCACAATTAATCCTGAAAAGCTTCATTAGGATGCTGTCCAGTTATTGATGAGATACTTGAAAGGAAGTACAGGTCTGGGCCTATTCTACACTAGATATCCGGGTGTAATCGAAGGCTATTCAGATACGAGCTGGTGCTCAGAACCATATGAGTGCAGATCTACTGGAGGTTTTGTCTTCACCATTGGTGGAGCTGCTATCTCGTGGAAGTCGAAGAAGCAGACTATGATTGCACAGTCATCGATGGAATCTGAGAGAGGATAGCTATTAAGCCTAGATGAGTTCAAAACATTTCGGATGCAAGATGTTAGATAGGAAACATGCCTAAAGAACTTACCTATGCATGGGTGGAGATTTGGTCGTCCCCTATGGTGTCTTGTGAAAAGATACCTAGAGCTCTAGCAAAAATCAGGACATGCACAGAGTCATAAATGTGCAAAGGCAAGACAAATGCAAAGGCAAGTGTGGTTCAAAGTGAAAACTACCATAGATAAGTTTGATCTTATGTGATCGTTGGATTTTTAGATATATGCTGGTTCAAATCTCTGCGACACCATGCATCTATCTTTTATTCAGTTGGTCTAAAGGGGATTCAAGTCCTTGCGACATCTATCTCTGCGACACCATGCATCTATCTTTTATTCAGTTGGTCTAAAGGGGATTCAAGTCCTTGCGACATCTACCTTATGCACAACGATTGTCTTTTATTCAGTTGGTCTAAAGGGGATTCAAGTCCTTGCGACATCTACCTTATGCACAACGATTGAAACGACACCATTTAACGACTCTGGTTTAAAAAACTTATGGGGGGTTGTTGGATATAATTTTTTAAAATAAATTTATGTAGGCCTCATGACCATGACCTTAGCCTAACATCATTTGAAAAATGAAACCTCACATGGGCGGTTAAAATGCAGGTGACAAATTTTTTCAAAAGGCGTAGGGCCTACCGAAGAAAAAATTAGAACGTGGACCCCACATGCATAGTAAAATATATTATTTTATTAGTACATAGTATTTTCCCAAACACTATAAATAGACCTAAAATCCTTAATGAAATTTTATTCTAAAAACAACAATCAATAAATACAGATATAGATTATAAATAGCTGGTGCTTATAGGAATTTTGCATGATAGATCGAAAAGATCTTTTGCTTGATAGATCGAGGAGATCTTTTGCTTGATAGATCGATGAGATTTGCCTTATAGATCGATGAGATCTTGATAGTACTGGGTCGGTGCACACCAGAGTACTGGACTGCTGTTCCTGAAAGCAATTTGGCATTGGGATCATTGCACCGGAGTAGGCCAAATAATGCTTTAAGCACAGCGTTTTATAAATGCACACCAGCTGAGTTGAAAATTTTAAATTACTGCATTTCAATTTTTTGTTCATTTTTTGCTTTTATATATCTGTATTATTCCAGATTTAACCATAGGCGCCAACAGTTTTTTCTCCGCACGTTAACACAAAGATACCTGACTAGTTGATGATCCTGCCTATTAAGAAACATCACGAATCGCATTGTAACCACTGATGCTTGCCGCGCCATTAGATTAAGGTTTATCGTACTTTATTTCTTTCAGTAACATTATTCAATCTTATGATTATAAGACACAATTTATCACAAAATTTCCCCATCACCATAAACACATGCCATTGCAATCACGATAAGATATCACAATTCGCATTACAATTGAATTCGTCAAATTTCAAAGCCCTAATTGAAATGCGAGATAGGGTTGGGATCCACCTGGACGCCGCCGCGTTGATCGCTGCGGCTGATCGCAGTAGAAGCAAACGCTAATCCTCTGAACCGCCGGCGATCCATGAGCTAGGGTTCTGAGCGAGATCGCTCGGTACAGAGACGACGCAGAGAAGACGATCCCTCTCATCGCTCGCCGAGAAAAAAGAGAGAGCTTTGGGGATAGCTGAGGATCGATCTCGGGAACAAGAAGAAGGACTGCGAACCGCGAGCGACGTGGTGTCATCAACCGATCATTGATGCACACGTGTCAGCGTCAGAATAAGGACGCTTGTTCCAAACGATCGCCTCTCGTTGTTCGGACAAGAGGCAAGAGGGGTTGTCGCTGGAAAAGGACTGCGGTTGATACGTGTTTGGCTTGTAACAGCACGGGATAGGTACGATAACAAGTTCCGTAAAGAGCACTTATTATATTGTTTCAACTACTTTACACTTAAATACCCCAACTTGTATTTAGTAGCAAAAAGATACCCTAAAAATTTTTAAACATGTACTTATATACCCGTATTTTTTTAGCAGCAATTAAATACGCTAATATTTTTACAACTAGCACTTAAATACCCTAAAGAATTTAAATTTGACACATAAGTAAGCTAAACTTTTTAGAAGTTGCACATAAATACCTCGCGTTATGCATACTTGGGTGTATTTAAATGCAAGTTTAAAAAATTTTAGAGTATATAAGTGCTGCTAAAAAAAGGTAAGGATATACAAGTGCAGTTTAAAAACTTCAAGGTATTTGCTCGCTATTAAATATAAGTGGGGGTATAGAAGTGAAAAGTTGTCGAAACAATAGGGTGTGTAAGTGCTATTTGGCCAGAAATAAAGTTCCGGTTTATAATTGAGTTTGGTAGGTTCAACTTATAAACATAAACAAAAGCCTAAAATTTTCATATAACGCGCCAGGTAGGGGTCGAACCTACGACTTTCTGCTTAGGAAACAGACGCTCTATCCACTGAGCTACAGGCGCTGACGCTTTCTAACAAAAGTAACTCTCTTAGAAAAACCTGTAAGTAACGTGCTTAATCCACAAGTACTTGAACGAAGCCCGTAGCAAAAAAAGGACGTAAATCTGCTAGAGGAAATAGATATGCAGCTTCGTTAACAATTTTTCTTATCAAATTTAGTATGTCACCAATGAAAACAGAAATCTACAGCAGATGTATAGGACACTCGATCCCAATCAAAACAAGTAACCCGAGATGTATAATTTAGTAGGACCGTAGCTCCACAGCATAGCAGAAATCACATCCAAAGTCATTCGGATTGGTCGACACACTGTGCATGCTAGTGCAAGAACTTAATTGCTCTAGTGTCAACATGAACCACCAATTATCATACCATAAACAAGGAACAGTAGTCATTTCTTTTCCTTCATAGTAGTCATGTTACAAAACCAGCAACAAAAGTTTTTGTTTCGATTTGAGGCTAATTTCGGCGAAGGAAAAGAGAATACAGACTAGAGTTTTCTTAACTGCAGGATACTGCAGTATGAATTTACAGTTGACAAGGTTCCTGTATCACATACACATTTTGTCAATCATGACAAGATTAAACGGAGGATTTCCCCAGAATACTTGAAAGATTTCTCTGTCTCCTCCAAGCAATGATTCTTCTCCTCTCTCGACCAGCTCTGAGAAATATCATAAAGAAAAGATATCCCAGTTTTCAGAAAGTGAAGAATACTCAAATTGCTATTAAAACACAAGCACTACGCAAAAGGAAAGTGTTGCTTAATCATTAAGAGTCAAGACAGAGACTCACATTAGCTACTTGGTTGAGCTTCTCTCTGACATTCTGCAACAGCTGAGAAAGTTCCCCATCCCACTTGTAGAACTCAAGCTCCTTCTTGTCAAGAATTTTCTCCGCCACCTTGACAACAAGGAGTTGCAAGGCAAAAATACACAAGAAATCATTAGCTAGAACACTTGTAGCCATTAGTTTACTAGTACCAAGTTTAAACATTCATCAGGGAGACAATCCTCAGTTACTTATCACAGAATAGAAACCTCGATTTGTTCACAACTTTGGCAAGTTATGCTATATACTTTTGGAGCAAAGTTTCTTTGATTCAATTTGAAATGAGAAGAGGAAATGGTTAGGGACTAAGAAATAATGCTGTGAAGGTAGTCATGTATCAACGGAAGAAAGAAGTATCCTTCCTCACATGCCATTGTTATTGTTATGGGCTTTTTCCAATATTAGTCCCTTAAGTTTTTAATATTTTCAAATTAGTCCTTCAAATCATTGAACATTGCTATTAGATCCCCTGCTGCTCTTGATTGGAGGGATTAATTTGAAACAACTTATAAGAATTGGGGGACCTAATAGCAATTTTGATGGTGTGAAGGGACTAATTTCAAAATATTAAAGATTTAAGTGAGTAACATTAAAAGAACCTATTTTTATCCCATCATCTACTAGAATTGGAGTTCTCATTATCCTGGTGGAGGGTATTATTGAAGCAAAAGATACCTTTTTACCAATCATTCGGCCCCCAGCTGAATGTGCAAAATATACGTTGTAGAAGTGACAGATGAATGCTTGAGGATCCTTTTCGGATAGCTCTTCCAAATGATGAGCATAGGAGACCCCAGGAGATGATGGTTCAGGAATGGCATGTCCTTGTGCCTTGAACCACTCCAAGTCCTTTGCCAATTTTTCAGATCTTTCCAAACCCGTATTCCTGAATTCAGCATCTGCAATCAAGACATCATTTCATAAAGTTTCATAAGGAGTCTCTTTCTTAATTACAAATTATGCAAACAATATTTCTCCTCTTATTACTCAAGGAGTGCTTAGCAGGGAAAGTCTTCATGTGAATTCTGTCAGTAAAAACTAGCAACTTTACACTAAACTTTAGGCGTAGTCAGTGCACTAACAGTTCATGTACTTCCATTTAAAGTTTTAGTTAAAACACATTCTGAGGCATAGTCATGACTCCCAGGAGTCGAATGAAACGCATGTCAAGCTCCAACTAAAGCTTAGCTATTTATTTATTTGAGAATAGGTCTGATACAGAGTTTTTTTTATAATAAATAAACTAATATTTACAGAGATAGGGATACACGAGGAGGGAGGGAGGAATGAGGAAAAACAAAATTGTGTGAGGTCTTCCATTTCTGTGTAGCTATAAGTGATATCCACTAAGCATGTCCAACTATCTTCATAAGAAATGTTTAAAATTATATAAATAAACAGACATGTCGATATAAATATGGCGCTCTAGTTTCTGTACTATGTTTGTGGATCACCTTTAGGAGATAATGAAGCAGATTTATTGATAGCGTAATTTTAAGCTGCTACATGTCACAAGAACTACCTACCGAAGTCAACACTAGAAAGGATATATATTCAGTATTTGACAGTAAAGCAAAGTAGGAAACTGTTCGGAGGTGAAAATTGAATTAAGGCACTTGGGTTAACCTAGTGATTATGAGATAACTAGATTTGATGCACCTGCACCACATCCATTCGATAATTATAAATTTATTATCCACATATGAGTTCTGCTCTTTTTACTTCATAATATTGCAACCATGAAGAAAAAATTAGTTTTTCCTTGAAACTGAATTTAAAATATGGTCATTCTACAGAAATCACATTTGATTTTCAATTTATACATAAACCACATTTGAACGGATTTTTATTGCAATCAACCACCCAGACCGGCTTTTCAGTTTATTATTATTTTTAGTTTTGCTATAATAATTAGTTGTCAAATACCAAGTATATTTGAGAGATGATCCTTAATGGAGATTAGGTGGAGTCAACTACCAAAAATACTTGGCTAAAAAGTGGGCCAAATGGTTGATTGCAACAAAAAACCCTTTAAAGGTAGTTTATATATTATAAATTGAAATCAAAGGGGTTTTGTGTAGAATGATCTTATTTTAAAGGTGGTTTCTAGGAAAAATTCCAAAAAATTAACACCATCACCTACTGCTCAACCAAGTGACAGCATATAAGAGAACATAACATTAGTTTCTAAAACTATCCCATAAAGTCAGTTTAACCTCTGATATCATCTTATTTAGATCTTTGGTTTGTCCAATGAAAATTACCGGAATTCAAATGGCCTTTCAGTCTAAAATGTAATGTTAAGGCAACCTCAACCAGTAGGGCAAGGAAAAATCTAACTTCAAGCACCAATAACAACAAACACCACCCTTTTACTGATGGTAACTCTCACTGGCACGACCTAGTTTAAAGAGAGAGAAAAAAAAATTTACATAAGAATTCGGCATATGGTTGTCCATTGGTAAGGTATTATTGCCTTGAATATCTGATACCTCCAAAGAGCCAACTGAAAGTCGCTTCAGTATAAGACGGAGGAAAAAAGACAATATATAGCACATCATTTTAAACTTTCTAGCAATAGCATCTCATATAAAGTATTTCAATATATTATATATTGTGCTTTATCCGAAGATAAGAGAATATTATCACAGGTTCCTGATACTTCTAAAAAATTTCCTTCATAATCAACACTTCTAATCCATCAAAAAAAATTTAATCAACACTTTTATTATTGGTGTGACATGACAACTAAAATACTCACTTCTATAAATTGCAGAAGAAAGTAATTTGTGTTAAACATGCCATTCTCCATCAATTAAAGATAACAAGAAACTCCATTTTGGAGTAGCAAAAGCCAAAAGGTATATTATTTTGTTAGAATATAAAAATTATAACCCTCAACCCCCACCACAATTTCGGAGTTTTGACGTAGTGGCAAGGACTTTAAGATGGTACCAGAGCAATCCAGGTTCAAATCCTACTGCCCATAAACTTAAAGCAGATTTGAACAATGTTTTGGTTGTGTGAGTCCAGATTCAACCTATATAAAAAAGCGCTCAACATACAGGGGCATGTTAGAAAATAAATTATAACCCTCATCACCAATTTGGAGTTTTGACGTAGTGGCAAGGACTTCGAGATCATCATTATCTCATTAGAAAGAAAGTTTGGGAAAATATTACTAGAGAAGAAATATCAGGCCTCCAGAAGATGGTTCATGAATTCCTAGGAAATACACTATCTATGAAACATGATAAAAGATTTTCTGGACCTTCTACCAGTGTGATAGGAGCATGTTTGGTTGGATGGAAAAGGTCAGAAAAATGTCATTAATAATGTTTTAAACTAGACAAGGATAAGGCAATGTTGTTTGATTGTTTTTTTCACTTAAATGATACAACATTCTGTTTACTTTAAGAGAAAGAAGAAATGAGAACTAAACATCTATGATTTTAAGGATACAGCTTGAAAAAAGAAAGAATTTTGGAAGGCTAGGTCTATTCTCAATCGACTACATTTTCATGTACAGCAAAAATCATACCATAACATCAGCAGTATAAAGCAAGCTACATAGTTCAACATTAAGAGCTAAATATATGTTTACGAAACTCAGAAGACACAGATTGCATAAACAAAGGGTTAATATGTGCAAGAAGAGAGAATACCATTCAGTTCAAGGTCACTGTTATGTTTATACTATTAAGTCTTAATAAAAAGTTAAAATACTAACAATTCCCAGTAGCAAATTTATCATTTTTTGACTTAACTCGTGATGAGATAACAAACCGTTCATGGCATTCCTTCAGCTACAGCAACAACAAAGCTTTTATTCCAGATTTTTGGATCAACTAAATGAATCATATTCTTCCTTTGAAATATGTTAAGGGCTATAACCTCCTACATCCAGTCCTCTCTCCTTTCTTCACAGCAACAACAACAACAACAAAAGCCCATATCCAAAATATAACATTTTGGGATCAGCTACATGAATCATATATGCTCCATTAATTCCAACTATTGCCACACCCTTCCTAATTGCATTCAATCAAGCCCTCTTCTGCTTATCTCTAACCCTCCTTATCCCGTTAACTATACTAGTGGCCTCTGCACATGGCCTCTGTTAAGTTTATTCCATTGTGCTTAAATTGTATAACAAAACATAAATTTATTACTAGTTTATTCAACTACCCAAACATCCCACAAACTGTTCTCCGCTCCCCAAACTCAAAATCCACCCAACAAATGCAAGTTTTAAATTCGTAAACTTGTGATAAGGAACTTACACCAAGGGCAGCTGGCCTTATCAACAATACTCTCAAGCTTATCATAAACAACCTTACTATCCACCAGAAACCTCAGATACCCTTCGATCGTCGGCTCCCACTTCGCGATCGGAGCAGAGTTCGACTCCTTCTCTCCTTCCTTAGCCTGATCTTTAGTGTGCAGCTTCATTGCAACGAACCTCATCTCCTCCACAAACCCTTTGGACTCCCCTGGGTACCTCTTCTTCTTCGGCATCTCCTCCGTCGTCGCCGCCGACACCACCATCGCCGTCCTCCTCATCGGAACCCTAGCGCTCGGGAGAACTAGGAAAGATGGGATTTTTATGGGGGATTTGGGTTTTGGGGAGAGGAGAGATTTGGGGTTAGGGTGAGAGAGGGGGGTTCGAATGGCCATTTTTAAGGGGAGAGTTGAGGTGAGCTCAAATTGACGCAAGGAGAGGAAACAAGAAAAGGGATTTTGGAGCAGCGATTGCTTGAGGGGTTACTTCTCTATTTCTTGTTTTGTTGGTTTCAAGGGCTTATTTTTTATTGGGTTTGGATGAAGGAGAGGAGACGATGAGGAGTCGTGCTGCTTTTGCTTTTCTGGATGGGGTGAAGGTTTAAACCTCACACAAGGCGAGGAGGAAAATAACAGAAAATTTCCTTCATTTATTTGTTTATTTATAGTTCTATAAAAATAATTTTTTTTAATATTGATTAGAATATATATTTGGTTATTTTTTATAAATTTTAATTTTTTAGTGCCTGATGGTAATTCCTTGAATTCGTCTTTGTTGTTCATAAGTTTTTAAATTTCAAAAATTCAGAGTCTTTTTTTATTATTTAAACTTTTGAGCGTGTTTTTAAAATATTGAGGGTTTCATGTTTGTTATTTTAAGTTTTGAAACGTCTGGACGTTTTGTGTAATTTTAAACTTTTAAGGGTAGTTTTGTGCAAATTTTAAACTTTTTCAGTTTTTTTTAATACTTCATATATTATAGCATATCAATCTTTAAATTATTGACCTGCAAGTTGTTCACATGGGATTAGGATAAGATATAATTATGATTATAATAGATTAAAATTTAAATGAAATATTAAAAATAGTCAAGGATAATATTGACCACGTAAAGATTTTTCCGAACTCGTACATTTAAAAGGAATATGATACAAAGGTTGGGATGCAAATTTTGTAAAATGATGAAGGAATTATAAGAAGGCTAGCTAATTTTCAATTTGAGTTGCATCCCTAGAAAGTTTGTAAATCGCTTCTTGCCCACTAGAAAAGATTTAAAGCAAATAATATGTGGTACATAAGCATTCAAAGTGGTATGCTAATAATATGGAATATATAAGTTAGATTCTTGGGGAAAATATGTCCAAGCCTTAAAAGCGGAAAGTTCATGTGACGAGGCCCCTTGTATTCTGCTCCATATGGATAAGCCTCAAATACACACAATATTTGTGACAAGACCCCAAAGTATTGGTTTTCAAAAAAAGCCCAGTAGAAGTTACGAACTTACCTCTTTGATGGGACTGAACTAGGTTATTGCGCCCCCTCCCTACCCAAGTACCCTCTTCATCTTCCCCCTCTCTTCCACCGTGTTAGTTTTACCTCTATTTAACGCAAGTTCTAGTGTAAGCGTTGGTTCTGTTGCCTATGTTAGTTCTAGCTGAGTTAATTTTAGTTCTAGCTGTTGTGATGTCAGTTCTAACTGATATCGTGTTAGTTCTATATCCATTTAACACGAGCTCTAGTGTAAGCGTTGGTTCTGTTGTCTTTGTTAGTTCTAGCTGAGTTAATGTTAGTTCTAATTGTTGTTGTGTTATTTCTAACTGATATCGTGGAGGGGCCTTGCCACATTAATGTCACTTTTTTGGGGCTTATCCACATGAGGCATAATACAAGGTACCTCCTCATATGAACTTTTCATTTTTAGGGTCTAGACACATTTTTCCCTAGATTCTTTTAAGAAATTTAATTACTTAAATTTTTCAGATCTCGCTTGCCTTGCACGTGGAGAAGGTATGGCAGCAGCAATACAAGGACAGTAGGAAGGCAGAGAGGAGCGACACGATTATGAATTTCAGCAGTTTCGTACCATGAAGCGACAAAGCAAGCAGCGTGTAAAGGACCAACTTTAGCTTCTCTGTGTACTCCCTGACCTAATCAAATGTAGCTATGATGCAGCAAACAGCGATTGTCGTGGTTAAAAGGTAGAGTGGAGGTTGAGGAACTGGCGATTTTACACGGCACACAGCGGAGTGAGGATAAACGAAGAGGAGACTTTTTTATTTTTATTTTTACTTTTATTTTGAAATTTTAGGACGAAAAAGAGAATAGCTAAAAATTAGGGGCATTCCGAGAATTGAACTCGGGACCTCTCGCACCCTAAGCGAGAATCATACCACTAGACCAAATGCCCGTTTCGAAAGCGGTTGTAACATTAAATTATTTAAACTTATGTTTACACTCTTCATTTCTAAACAGCACGTAGGGCTGCTCGGTACAAAACGTCACGGGTTCAAATCCTGTCATCCGCCTCCCCGAGTTCCAACAACACTCAGGGAGCAAGCATGGAGCACGAGGTTTTATAAAATTATTACAATTTGGTAGCATTAACCTATTAAATATTAGAAACATCAAGTTACGTACGTAAGCCGGAATTAAAATCTCTGCCTGTTCTGCCTTAATTATCAGATATATTTTATGTGGAACTTCTTAGGGCCCGTTTGGTTTAAGTATTTTGCATTGGGTCTTGGGCAGAAAGCCTATCAAAATGGTACTTTTAGCAGGCTTTCTGTCCAAAACGCATCTTAAAGAGGCGTTTTGGACAGAAAGCCTGCCAAAAGTATCCTTTTGACAGGCTTTCTGCCCAAAACCCAATGCAAGATACTTAAACCAAACGGGCCCTTACATATCGTAAAGCTAGTTCAAGGAGTTTTATTTGGGTAGGTTGACCTAGAACTAGAAGGCAACATCTTCTTACGCCAAGTTAACGAATGCCTCTAGGATAAGGCACGGCTGAGGCGGTCACTCACGAGTTTTGATTATTCGAGAAAATCTTTATATTCGTCAAAGGTAAAAGATTAATTACGGTGTTGCGTGAATCATGGTTTCGGCTCATAAAGAGAACTCTCAACATGTGGAAACATATTAGAGTATAAAGTTATAACTCTCTGTCACTATATCAAAATTTTAAAGTTGTTCTAAGAGCTGAGATTAACGTAAGTTAGGACAAATCTATGCTGGCCACTATAACCACTAACTTGACATCGAGGGCGGATCAATATTTTTTTTTACTATGGGGGCACATTTTCACTATGCATATTAATGGCGAAGAATTTTAGGTTTTATTTTTTGGTTCTCCTGTAATAGTCCCTTAAATCTTTCGTACTATGATATTAGTCCCTCAAATCACTGCATTTGCTATTATATCCCTCAAATCTTAGGTTATTTTGAATTAGTCCCTCTAATCATCAAAATTGTTATTAGGTCCATCAATTATTAATTTTTTAAAAATTATAATAAGAAATGTTAACTTGAAATAACCTATGAAACCAGCAACTTAAATGTAATGAGGGACAAATTTCCTAGCAATTGCTACTTTTCACACTTGACTTGAGGATCTAATTTTAAATTAACTTAAAAATTAGGCCGCTTAATAGCAATTTCGTTATTTGAGGGACAATGTTTAAGATAGCATATAAATTGGGGGATCTTATAGAAATTTCAATGATCTGATGTGTCTAATTTTATAATATAAAATACGTAGGGGACTAATATCTAAAACACTCTTTTTTGCTTCATAGAGCCACCGGCCCATCATGTTTGGAGTTAAAAGGAAGGTCCATGAGAAATAATTACGTTTTATAACTTTTCATACGTGGATTTTGGTTAATTTGGCGCCCTTGAGATGTGGTTGGGTCAATTTGGGCCTTCTGCGTGGGTACCTATTAAACTGCTATGATGGACCATCTTTATAATTTCGAGATCTTTCTAATCTTTTAGTAACATAAGTGGGGGCACGTGCCCTCCCTTGCCCCCACTCCACCTCCATCCTTGCTTGACATGCAATTAATTAATTATCAGCAATTAATCAATATAATATACCGTGTACAACTTTCTTGCCATTATCTGCACCACACAAATTAACAAACTTTACTAATTACAGTCATTTAATTTTAATCCATTGATTCATCACCAATCCACCCTCTCTTCCACCGACCAGGAAGATCGACTATACAGGAGATATATAGTATCAACCAGATAGCACAAAACTTCAGAACCGCCCTATTTGCAAACTTACTCCCAAAAAACCGACATATTTCTTCTTTATTTGCAAAAACCGATCTAGTTTCAGAAAAAGTTTCCAAACTTCACGGGAGTTAAAGTCTCGTGAAGTTATTTTTTCATAACAAAACTTCACGGGAGTTGAAGTCCCGTGAATTTTGTTATGTAAAAAACTTCACGAGACTTCAATTCCCGTGAAGTTTGTAAACTTTATTTTGCAAAAACCAACCTGGTTTCAGCCTCAGGACTGAAACCAGGTCGTTTTTTGCAAATAAATGTGAAACATGTTGGATTTTGGGATTAAATTTGCAAATAGGACTGTTTTGAAGTTTTGTCCACCAGGTATATAGTTGATGCATCAAAAGACAACAACCCTTCACTATTACACCAATTTCTAGCCTACAAACTAATGACTTGACTTGACGCACAAAACTAACCAAAATCACTGAAAGATGTCTATAAAGTGATGAGGCCCAACCTCATGATTCTGATCTCCAATATCAAACAACCAGTTGCTCTCATCAGAAGCCAACATAGGGGCGTCTTGATCACGAGGGCTGAAGAACGAGCGAGACCCTGACCCGTCCTGTTGACGACGCAGCGCTAGTCGAGCCTTAACTCTCACCGGAAACTCTAGACACCTCGGCCTGCTCGCATGATCAACCCCGGCCTCGGACGTGGAGCCACCGGAAGCAGACTTCCCCGTGAGTCGCTGGACCAGCGCCATGAACTCGCTGGCTTCGGCATGAATCACCGTCGGAGGCACCAGGTATATGATCACGGGCCTTTTCTTCTGAACCTTTTTCTGAGCGCTTGAAGACATTTTAATTTGTGGATTAATTACTTTGGCTTGCAAGTCGCCAAGCGTACGCATCAATTAATTGCTATGGTTTAAATAGGATCAGGGGAAAAAACTTATAAGGGAGACTCTAGTAAAGTCAACCCCTCAAGGGACCCATAGTAGTAACATCACTAGAGCAAAAGTCTTATTTGTCTACCCTTATTTTATGAGACATATTAAAGTATTATTTTATTTATAAAAGATTAAATATTTATGATAGTGTATAAGCTATAAAACTCTACCGTTAAGTATGTGTCATGAGTTTTATGACACATTCTCACATGTGTAGAAAGACGCTCTCTACACAATGCTCTAACCACACTTTTGGTATGTGTCACGCTCTGTTTGTGTGATACAAAAATGTGTCGCGTAGAGACAAAAAGATAAAAAAAGTATCATAATTTACAACCTTTGTTGTAGTGCATTAATTAGCAAAAGTTCAACGCTTAGTATGGATGCATGTTGTGATCACTTTATTTGTTGTTTAATCAAAAGTTCAA